CTGTTGTGGGAGTCTTCAAGTATAGCATGTAATTCCTTGACCCATGCCCACAGTTGGAGTGGCTTCTCTCAGATACCCCTAGAATGTATAAAATGTGTAAGAGGTTATACACATAGACTTGCCTCCTGGATGGCTTGCCCAATGATGTTAGTAAATTCAATGGGCATTTCTGAAGGGATTCCAGGTATCCCAAACAAAGGATAGTAGCAAGCAAAGCAAGAGAATTTATTAAGAAAGGATTCTTGCAGGTTGGTGGTGGCGGCTCACGCTTTTAATCCCAACACTCAGGAGGCAGAGGCAGGGCTTTTTCAAAAAAAAACCCTGTCTCAAAAAAAAAAAAAACAAAAAGGAAAAGAAAAAAAAAAAAAAGAAATGATTCATTTCCAAAAGAGGTAAAGCAGGCTGGTACACAGAGAAAGCTTAGAAGCTCAAACAGTGGTGGCACACAAAGGATTGGGACTTTGGGCTTTGGGGGTCATTTGCATAGAGTCTTAGTTGGGGTTTCTATAAAACACTACAACCAAAAGTCATCTGAGGAGAAAGGAGCACTTCATCTTATAACCCTCAGGTCATACTCTACCGCTCTCCATGGCTTGCCTGGCTTGCTTTCTTCTACACCCCATGACCACTTGCCTAGGTGTGGCCCCACACATAATGAGCTGGGCCTCCATATCAACCACTCATTAACAAAACAGGCTTGCCTGCAGGCCAATTTTCCCCTTTATTGAAAATAGAACTTTTCCCTCTCATGTTATATCCTGACTATGGTTTCCCCTCACTTTAACCCCCCCCCCAGTTCCTTCCCACTCCCCTCCCATCCAGATCCACTCCCTTTCTCTCTCATTAGAAAACCAACAGACTTCTAACAAAAACCATCATTTCAGAGTTGGACAAGGCAGACAAAGAGAAGGAAAAGAGCCCAAGAGAAGGCACAGGAATCAAAGACCCAATTGTGTGCACACTCGGGAATCCCATAAAAACACTAAACTGAAGCCACAGTGCTGGCACCAAGTCCTCTGGGCCCTGTGCATGCTACCTCAGCCTCTGTTTGTTCACACTGGTTTGTCATGTTGATTTAGAGGGCCTTGCTTTCTTGGTGCCCTCCATCCCCTCTGGCTCTTACATCCTTTCTGCCCCGTCTTTCTCAGGTTTCCCTGCGTCCTGAGAGGAGTGATTTGATAGAGACATCCCACTTAGGGCTGAGTGTTCCTAGGTTTCTCACTCTCCACACAGTATCTGTCTATGGGTCTCTATCTTTGTTCCCATCTGCTGCAGGAGGAAGTTTCTCTGATGATGGCTGAGTAAGGCACTAATCTGTGAGTATAGGAGAATGCCATTAGAAATCATTTCATTGCTGTCTTTTTGTTGTTGTTAGAACAGTAGTATTTGGTTTTAACCTAGGTCCCTGAGCTTTCCAGACTCTGGTTCTTGGTCACCCAAGTAGTGCAGGGTATGTGTTCCATCTCATGGAGTGGGCCTTATGTCAAATCAGATATCGGTTGGTCACTCCCACAAGCTTTGTGCCACCATTGCCTTAGCATGTCTTGCAGGCAGAACACCCTTGTACATCAAAAAGTTGGTGGCTGACTTGGTGTTTATGTTTCTCTTTTGGTAGTGTGACGCTAGCATGTAGGGGTGAAGGATCTCTGTAGGCACCAGCTTGACTTCTCCATGTTCAATGAGTTCTGTAGGTGTTGAGGCCTTACTATCAGTTAGTGGAGATCAACTTATAGTCCTGGCAATAGCCTGGGTTATTTGGGGAGTCCCATGGGACCCCTTTGGCCAACAATTCAATTAGATGTAACCGAATCCCTGTACTAAAAACTTTATTTAGTGACAAAAGATAGCCTTTTGGGAATTTATCTTCCCCACTATTTGGTGATTTCATTTAGATCACCTTCATATTTTATGGCATTTCTACTGTATTAGGTTTCAATATTGCTCTCAAATCGCCCTTAATTTTAGCTGTCTCTCCCCATGTTCCTTCTCTCATTCCCCTCTCTCTTCTCCATCCCCACCTGCTTCTCCCATTCTGGGAATCCCATCCATCCATAACTATCTATTTTATTTCCCTTTCCTAATCTATCTGTCACCCCTCCCTTACTCTATACCTACACACTCTGCAGTTCTACAGATTGTAGCTTGGTTATCATTGACTTAACAGCTAATATCCACATATAAGCAAACACATAGCATATTTGTCTTTCTGGGTCTGGGATACCTCATTCAGGATGATTTTTCTCTAGTTCCATCCATTTTTCTGTGAATTTCATGATGTAGTTTTGTTTTAATGGATGAATAATACCCCATTGTATAGAAGTACCACATTTTCTTTATCCATTCTTTTGTTTAGGGGCAGCTAGGTTGTTTCCAATTTCAGGCTGTTATGAATAGAGCCTACATCGCTCAATCATTAAGAGAACAGGTTGCCTACAGGCCAGGCTTACAGAGCATTTTCTCAATTGCAGTTCCCTCTTTTCAGATGACTCTAACTTGTGACATGTTGACAGTAAAACAAAGCAAAACTAGCCAGTGCACACAGAATGGGCTTTGGGGAAGTTATTTGTATAGCACAAGCTTTGTCACAAATGCTCTGTTGCATGCTGTTTTTTTTTTTTAAACAAATCAGAGGTCACTTTCAGACATTCTGGAGGGTCCTAGCACCTACTCCAGTAGCCCTCACCAGTTCTAGTTGGCCTTGGCCAGTAGCGGTATGGGGTTCAGTCTTCCTCTTTACCAACAGGGTTTCTACTATGCTATTGTTTTTACATTTATTTATTTATTTGGGGGTATTTGTAGGACCGGAGCATGTCTTGTAGGATATGATTCTTTCCTACCACCATGTTGGTTCCAGGGACTGAACTCAGGTTGTGGGGACTGGTCACAAGTCCCTTTACCAGATGAGTCTTCTCAGTGTCTCTTCCTAACATGCTTTGCCATGTTAACTTTGCAGTGAAGATGCTGTCTTTCACTTCTACCCATTTATTTTGCACCATCAGGACAGATGGCCAAGCCTAGCCTATAGGGGAACATGGGCTGTCCCTTGAAACTGTGGTTACAGAGAGGATGGGGCGGGTAGAGTGTTCTCTTCATCATGGCAGAGGCTCTGCTGGTGCTTTGGGCAGGGAACCTAATGCTACACACTTGGAGGTGCTGCAGGGGCCCCAAATGAGCCATTTCTTCCCCGCCTGAGGCTTTGCTTCTTCTGTCATGGTCAGGCCACTTAGAATAAGTGTCTGTTCTTGTAGTCTAGAGGCTACTGCTCAGAAAAGAGTCATAGGTCCACACATCTATAGTACGTATTTTTATACCACATAGATACACCATCCTTTCCAAGCTGAAGGTTTAGAGAATATTGTAGAGGGTGGAAAGAATGGGGGGGTGGCTGAAGGAGGAGTGCTCGAGTGTGGTGGGAAGGCCATTTCCTCTAGCTTAGCATGATCATCAGCCATGAGCAGAAGGCTGCTGCTGAGATCCACTGAATGTTGTTGCCCACGGTCATGGTAACGAAATAAGCAAAATACTACTTTGCTAAACAGATTGACACTGGCGGTGAAGCTGTTAGCATTCCCTCTTAGAGGGACATGAGGGTCAGCAGACCTGAGGTTCCAGCCACAGCTCCCTCAGACCCCCAGCTGCATCTTGTCTAGAGAAGGTGTCCAGGAATATCCGAGGTGGAAGTTTCCTAGGGACTAGAAATCTCATGGTGTAGATTTTGTGAGTTGTCACCCATGCTGAGAGTGGGGTTTTTCAGTGATGGAGTCACCAGGGAGTGGTGGAGTCACCGTGCTTTTGGAAGTAACTCCAGTAAACTGGTTCACCAGTTTGTACTTGGATCAAATTCTTTCTTTGGTGTCTGGAGGGTGAACAGACTTTTGGTTTCTGCAGAAAGGGTCACACAAAATAGAGGACAGTTAGGCAAGAAGAGCTGGATGAAGTGGGAGTTGGGAGTGGCAGGGGGAGCAGCCCCCAGTTGGAGGGGCTCTGGCTGCAGCATTTGGGCCAAGCACAAAGGGTGAAAGCCCAGGGCTATCACATCTCCAAATGTGCTCTGTGCTCTGAGCTGGTTTCAGTAGGTTTGTTTGTTTTAAAATTTTATTTATTATGTATACAATGTTCTTCCTGAACACCAGGACAGGGCACCAGACCTCACAATGGATGGTTGTGAGCCACCATGCAGTGGCTGGGAATTGAACTCAGGACCACTGAAAGAACAGCTGGTGTTCTTAACCTCTGACCCATCTCTCCAGCCCACTAAACTGGCTTTGTAGCCAATTCTTGTCTCTAGAGCCCCTTGCAGCCTAAGGCCACACCCCCCAGATAGTACAGGTACCAGGCCAAATGTCAAGCTTCCTCACAACAGACTCCAGAAGAGCACTACCACAGCCATTGGCCTTGTGATCAACAGGCCCACTATAAATGGAAACACCACCAAGAGGCCCGGGGCTCCAACAGCAGTGTGTTACTGATGAGTGTGGCTTTATGGCCATTGGGTATCCCGAGCTGTCATGTGCTGTAGATGACAGCCTTCCAGACCATAGGTACTGCCCTCCTGCCTAACCCTACAGTAGGCATGAAGTCTGGAGGTCCCTAAAGGAAACAGCCATTAGAGGGTCCTCTCAGAAGATGTCTCCTAGCTCTTTGAGCTGTATGCTCCTTCTTTGCCTCTTACCACATGCATCTGGGTGACACCAAGGGCCCTGCCAGGACCATCTCCCGGAGACAGCTCTATTCTAAAACCAGTGACTGGCCACCGAGGCCCCATTCTCGTGCCTCAGGGGTTCTAGATCTGGGGTGGCAGGTATGTGGTCTTGCTCCAGGGTCCTTCAAGTTGGTCTTTAGACTCTCAGTCCTCTGGTCCCTTCAGAGGAGCCTCCTATACAGACTCTCTAGGCCACCTGGGTTTCCTAGAGTGTTCAAAACCCACATTAGCTTCAGGCTGTTTTGGGGGCTCCTTGCTAACATCACAGACTCCTCTGGTCCATGGAACAGGTTCACTTCTAGGTGAGGGTCAAGCTCTGAGAATCTTGGCTCTTGTGCGGTGTATTGGAGGTGGTGGCTGACATGGATGCATCTTGGAACTCCTTGGCCATGTAGTAGTAACAGATGGCATCCAGGCAGCAGTTGGCATCTGAGAGTCTGCTTGTGAGGGACAGGGCACGCCCGAAGGTGTAACGGGTAGCACAGGTGTTCAGGCCCAGGGAGACCTGCACGGTCAGGACCACATGCAGTGGTAAGAAGCAGATGATAAACACAGCCAAATTGGCCCAGACCATGCGGGTGGCCTTGCGGGTGGCCTCTGCCTGCACTACATCAGTGGTTGGCCTCTGCACCAGCGCAGTCACAACCTGCAAAGAGCAGAAGACCACTATGGCCAGTGGCAGGTAGAAGCCCAGGAGTGAGAAGGCAATGGTGCGGAAGTTGTGCCGGGTATGGCTCCTGAAGCAGAAACCACCCTCCTGCAGCCCCAGGCGCCAGCGCACTACCAGGGAGGTGACCACTGCCACCCAGAGGGTCACACACACTGCAACGGCCTGTTGTGGGGACCGAAGCTCACGGGCACGTATCGGATGCCGCACTGCCACATAGCGGTCTACAGCAATAGCAGTGACCAAGCTTATGCTCATGTACCTGTTGACCAGGTAGATGCCCTGTGAGAGCTGGCAGATTGGTGTGTCTGAAGTGTGTCTCAGGGAGTACAGCATGAATGGCAAGGAACAGAGTAGGCAGAGGTCAGCCACAGCTAGGTTGGTCATATAGACTCGGGTCTCCGTCCACTGCTGCATGCGCCAGCAGAATACCCAGAGTGCCAGGCCATTCAGTAGCAGTCCCAGCACCAGCAGCAAAACTGAGTAGATGCCGAAGACGTAGCTGACTGACTCACTCCACACGCTGCTGTTGCAAGTTGCATTCATCGTCCCGGGGCTGCAGGAGGGTCAGGAAGTCAGTGAGAGTTGGTAGGAGGAGGAGCCCAGGGTTAGGCCCAACTCCTGTGCCAAGGCCTGCCCACCTCTGTACAGGAGCTATGGAGGAAGCATGCAACACAGTGTGAAACTCCCCTTTCCCAAGAAACCATAGAAACTGTACAAATCTCAAAGTCACCCTCAAGGCCTAACCTTTTCTCACTGGACAGGCAGGGAGACCAAAGCCTCCAGAGATGGAGGAAGACCTAATGTTGCAGTGACCAGGTCAAAGCTAGAGACAGAATGACTCCTCCCATCTCCCTGGCCTTTCTCTCCTTAGGCCAACCTGTTGCAGGGGAAAGGGGAAGGAAGGAGTGTCTACAGGTCCCGTCCAGGAAGCCTCCAATTGTCCTAGGCAGGGACTGACGCCATCAGCCTCACTCAGCATGCAACTCTCAGTAGGGAGGCCTCAGAGGCAGCCCCACCTATGGGCCCAAGGATCCCAAGGCTGGGTCTTGCAGATTTCTGCCCTCAACCTGGCTGCAAGAAGACACCTCCACTTGATTCACAGATATGGCCAGCACCCACTCTGTCTGGTCTGTCCCCGAAGCACAGGACAACAGAGGGGATATAGGACTTGAGATCACCTCTGGGAAGCCGTGGGAACTCCTGAGGTGCCACCACCAGGCCTGCATCACCCCAAGGACCCCTCCCAGGTTTGTGTCTGAGATCAGGGTGTAGGTACACAGTTCTCAGTGGTCATAGCCCTGTCCCTCCAGGACCTGGATGTACTCAGAGGCCCATGCCACTGCCATTGTCAGGAATGTCCCCACGGTCACATTCCACTGCCTGTCTACCCCCTACAATTAGGCCCAGGAGGGTTACTGAGCCCATCAAGCCCCACCCAGGTAGGCTTGGGCAGTGTGGACACTTAGGACATGGCCGGTGGCACAGCAATCACACTCCTGTCTCATCCCGCTGTCAGGCCAGCCTCGGTTACCCCGCCATAGCGGCGTCAGTGTGACTCCACAACTAACACAAGAAACTGCCAGCAAGTGCTGAGCCCAGGCACACTGGACGCCTGGCCCACCCCCTTGTTGGTTGCTGGGTACCAGGAAAGACTGGAGAATTGGATGAATCATAGCTCTCAGTTTTACTACAGGGGCTTCCTGCTGGGGAAGATGACGGGAGGGGAAGAACTGTGTTCACCAGGGAGAGTCAGGCATTAGCTGGCTGTCTGCCTTAGAAACATGGAAGGCATGTTTTCCTTTCCCACACTGGAAATGGACAAGCACCCAGCCCAGTGATTGCAGACAGGGAGGTTAATGCACGCTAGATTGAGCCAGGGCTCATTTCCTCTTTGGTCTCCAGGGAACCTATGGGCCCACAGTCCATTAGAGAAGCCAGGCACAGATTCCAGCTGAACTGCTATCGTATTTCTGGGTCTAGAGCCCATATCTGCTGGATTAGAATGGACTGCTTACCAGCAATCGCAGTTTCCTGAGCCCTGCTCTGCAGTTTTTGTTTGTACTTTCATACAACTCAGGATTCTTTGGCCCTTGGAGGGACCCTGAGTCAGGCTGAGCTCTGAGGGTGTCCCCAGAGGCTCTGGCACTGACTAAGATGGCCCTTTCTGTCTACCCTTTACTCCCAGATACACTTACCCAGAAGCAACCTGTGGGGCCTCCAGCAGAACAGGTCCCTGAAATTTGTTTAGTATTCAATGGCAACATCCAGAAGCTGGACAGAGCGGGTCCTGGGCTGCCTATGGGGCAGGTCTCCATGCTACCAGTAGCTGGGTCCCCAACCTGAGGCCCCTTCACCTAAAAGCACGGCCCCCACTCTAATTCTCTGCCTCTGGGTTTGGAAAGGACGGCCTGACTTCTCAGCTACCTGAAAGCTGTGGCTGTGAGATGTGGGGCCACTGCTTGGGCCCTCCCTAATGTCCACTGTCCCACATGGCTCCATGGGGGCTTCCTGTTACATACCCAAACTTGGTATTTTCAGGTTAGACTCAACATGACCCAGCATTTTGTAGGGTCAGGTCAAAACCTCTGTTCACTTAAAAGATAACACAGAACCCTACGAAAAAAGGATTCAAACGTTCCAAGAGGTTCAGGTACACATGCAGCTCTGTTAGAAGCAGGCTGCTATGGAACTCTGCTCCTTCAGGACACCTCCTGCAAAGTTCCAGGTATCAAGTCCCAGGGCCCAATGACAGCCAGCACGTACCCCAGACACTCCCAATTGCCTCCCAGTGGCAATCTACCACACAGCCGGTGCTGGCATGCACATGGTGGCATCTGGAGAAGCCGCCAGTGGCTACTGGGTTGGGGAAATGGTGCTTTCAGGCTAGGAACTTCCTACCTGGGGTGAAGTATGGAGCTGGCATGAGGAGGGGATTCAGTTGTGCCTGGCCCGGGTGTTTTCCTCCAACCAGCAAGATCAAGCCCCCTTGTGCAGGAGAAACAGAAGGCTGCCCTATGAGTTCAGCACTGCCCATTCAGGGAAGAGGTTTGTGGAGGCAGAGGGAAAGACTGAGCCCTCCAGAGCCCATCCCTCAACCATCCTGATGTCTGGATGGGGGCCCACAGTGCTTGTCTGCTCATAATCAGGCCCAGGGGCCCACCCACTGGCTGAGATTTGGTGGCAGGAATAAGGCACTATCAGTTGGATACTGCATGGACTCTGAAACCACAGAGCCTGGACCCCTACGGAAATACCCCAGGGCCTTAAGAAGGCATGTGCCTGGGAACGCGAAGCTCCTCTCAAAGGCATGAACAGTTATTTTCTTTTCTAGTTTTCAAATGCAAGACACCACCTACAAAACAGACTTGGGAGTCTCAGATGAGGAAGGCAGGAAGGCCCAGAAACATCCTGAGTTACTGTGTGCCTGCCGCTCATGTTGTCCCCTCCCCCACCTCAACTGCTATGGAGCATAGCGCACTGGTCCTGAGTGTAAGCGCTCTGCCTGCTCCCTCAGGAAGCCTGCCCTGAGGACCCAAGTCCCCAGCTCAGTCCTAACTGTGCTCAAGCATATCTGCCAGACCCCAGCCAAACCCACCTAACTGACAGACCCCAGTCCATCCCAGCCCTGCCCTCACCTCACCCGATGGACCCCAGCCCCGCCCTCTCCTCACCCAAGGGACCCCCAACCCAGTCCCCCTCATCTGATCAAGTGACACTGCCCCCGCCTTACCCATCTGACAAATCCCAATCCAATATCAGTCATCTGATAGACTCCAGCCCAGCATCATCAAATATGACAGACAAATCCCACGCAGCTCTGCCCCATGTGGAAGCCCCAGCTACATCATGTCACACACCTGCTCTCTCTCGCTGGGCTGGAGCCTGGAGCGGAGGACTGAGGAGGCCGACCTCACAGCTGTCTGTCTCAAGCCTGCGGTAAGTTGAGTAGGCTGTTGGGGTTATTGATGACAGCAACAGGGAGGCGGCAGCTCCCCGCCCCCACTGCCTGCACCGCTTTGTCAGTCCTGGGGCTGTGTTGAAGAGTGGGGATTCCGGGAAGGGGAGCTGCTTCTTCGTACCTGCCTGCCGCCTCTGATGACACCTGCAGAGAAACAGCAAAGAAAGCATTTGTTATAGAAATAAGTTGAAATGGCTAACCAAGCAGGCAGCTCGGCCGCACCCTTGGATGCTTCCTCTTCCTCAGCACACTTCATTCTTTTTTATCATGACCGGGCAGCCCCCCCCCCCCCCCAGTATCTGCAGTCAGGAAATGGCAGTCTATACCCTGCTCCCTGACCAGCGGCAGCAATGTTCCCTCCCTTCCATGCCTATGAAGATGTGATTGACAGTCACGTCACACATCCCTACCTGACAGATGACACAACCAACATGCCTGGGTACAGGCCTGGTCAGTCAGCCCACAGACAAATCCAGACAGGGCACTGCTTTATTTTCTTATTTTTATTTTTATAATTGTAATTAGACCAATTTTTAATTAGAAACAAGCTTCTTTCACATGGCAATCCCAGTTCCCTCTCCCTCTCCTCTTCCCCTGCCCCCGCTAACCCCTATCCCAACCCCTTTCTGCTCCCCAGGGAGCGTGAGGCCTTCCACAGGGGATCTTCAAAGTCTGTCCTATTATTTGGAGCAGGGCCTAGACCCTCCCCGGTGTGTCTAGGCTGAGGGAGCATCCCTCTATGTGGAATGGGCTCCCAAAGTCCATTCATATACTAGGGATAAATACTGATCTACTACCAGAGGCCCCATAGATTGCCCAGACCTTCAAACTGACATCCTTGTTCAGGGAGTCTGGAACAGCCCTATGCTGGTTTCCCAGCTATCAGACTGGGGTTGATGAGCAACCCCTTGTTTAGGTCAGCTGTTTCTGTGGGTTTCACCAGCCTGGTCTTGACACCTTTTCTCATCACTTCTCTCCCTCTCTGCAACTGAATTCCAGAGTTCAGCTCAGTGTTTAGCTGTGGGTGTCTGCTTCTGCTTCCATCAGCTACTGGATGAAGGCTCTAGGATGGCATATAAGTTAGTCATTAATCTCATTACAGGGGGAGGGCATTAAGGTAGCCTCTCCGCTGTTGCTTAGATTGTTAGTTGGGGTCAAACTTGTAGATCTCCAGACAGGCCAATTCTGACCTACCTCCTCAGAAGCCTTTCCAGGGCTCATTCTCTTAGTCCAGACTATCCTTTACATCTGTAGGCCTTAGTAGGCACTCTTTGCCACAAACATCTTCACTCAGAGCTCAGGGTTCTTTCCCTAGGTCATTCTTGCAGATTGCCTCCCCAGCCCCAACCACCCAGGGGTTGGGGGACCTTTTCCACACATGAGCCCCACAGCCTCTGACCACAGTGTTCCGCAAGGGGCTAGGGAGAGCTTCAATTCCACTCTGCCCCATCTTCCAGGGGTGGAAAATGAGACCCAGAGAAGGAATTTATTGGGTAGGGTGTCCCAGTTGATAGCAGGCTTGAGACAACACCCTGGTCTGCTGTCTCTCAGGTTGAGCTCCTGCCCAAGAGGGAAGGTTGGCTTCAAGCCCTCTCTTTCACTGTACCACAGGCACAGCCTATGCCACTGACTACCTTTCCAGACCTGGGTCCCAAGATAGAC